TTAAGGCTTGTTTCCAATTTCACACCTTTTTTAAGAGTTTACTTATGCATCTAGTGATCTTGTCGGCAAAGCTTTTCAAATGTTTATCTTAATATTTCTAAGATCAGCCTTATGTGATGTTCGATTTTTTAAGTAAAGTTGTAAATTCTGAGATATAAGCTTAGGCATTTACTGGTAAAAAGAAATACATTATTGGGAAATTTGAGTTTAGTATTAGTTCAGTCATATCATCCCAAAATCTATCGAACTTCAAAGCTGTCAATGTTTTATTGTGCCGTGATCCTGAACGATGTCGATGATCAATTAAAAATATCGTTTTCCCTAAGAAACTGTCTCATGTACTTATTGCTGAATCTTCCTGAAATAATGAAAGCAATCTTTTACCAATATAACTAATAGTAATGCATTGCAATACGTTATTATTGACTGACTGAATGAATGACCTAATTTTCAATGCTCAGCAACATTGTCCCAAATACCTACAACAAATTAAAATAATTCAATTTGCGCTGTGAGCTACCCATAAACTTGTGAATTAATTGTTCACATAAACATTTCTCTGTACGAGTTCGGGTATATACAATTTCTTCACAATATAATTTCTTCACAGAAACCTAATGAGAAACTCAACTTCAAAGAAAGTAAAAACAAACGCGAGTACAGCCAGAGCACAAATGGACTGACGACGAATTGCCGCCTACATCTGCGGCAGACACAAAGCTGCTCCATTGACGATGAGACTGGATCGAAATCGTGTAAAGTTGACATTGCATGATCTTCGTCTTTGCAGAAGAAAGTGAAATTCTCCTTGAAATTCACAACATTGAAAACTTAAAGCAGCCACAACAACAACAACAACAACAACAATAGTAACAAACTAAGCAAAATTACCTGTTCGAAGAGATGTGCAAATGTAGAAGCTCGTTTAAAGTGGCATTAAATCGAAGGGATTTGCTACTACCAATGCTGGTTCAATGCCGTGTTTAATCCACATTTATATATGGAGGTTCTTTTTCATTTCACAGTTGATTTCTTTTGAGATACTTTAAATAGTTTGAGTAAAAACGTTCACTTTTTAAATTTGCTCACAGTAAATGAAGCGATAAAATTTATTTTGTCTTATTCGAGATAGTAGTCCAGTAGTTTAAGAACATAATAGATTACTGTTGATTTTAGTTAAATAACTGTGTGAGACATGGGGAATATTGTAAACCAAACTAAATCTCTTGACACCCCTCGATACCCTCAATTCTTTTAATAGTATATCGAGGCGTATAAATGAATGAAAATATATCACTTATTAAGAGATGGGGAATGTTTGAAATGAAACTTATGTCGATATCTTCTGTACTTTTATGCTGAAATAAACGAATATATTTATATATATTCAATTCAATGTGTATATTCAGCACGATTCCAATTATGGAGTCACAGCTATTTGATAAGGTAAAGACAAAAATACTAAAAAAAATATTTAAAAAATTTTAATAAAAACAATCATTTTAAACAACATTTTATATTGTGCTATATTTTATATTATGCTATATACGGTTAGCTAAAGATTTCGGTTGAAATTTTTAGTTATGGTCTGGTAAAATTATATAATCTCCATTTAATCAATTTAATAAAAAATATAAGTGAATATAGAGGTCTTCTATATTTTAATGTAGAAAGATATAAAAATAATTCATGGTATATTTCCGCGAAGTGGTTCCTAAGCTTTAGTGTATTTTACAAAAAGTTTGCAATATATTTCCTATATATATTGTAAAAAATTAAATTGTTTATATAAATATATATTTTGCTATATACAATCATTTTATTGGTGCTGCAAAATTTCTACAAGAAATACGCGCTATGATAAATTCATAATCACAAAATGCGCCTTACATATGCGCAGATACAAAGGTTTTGTACTGAACTGCACGTGATGTCGGCGGGGAAATTGCATTATTTACTCCTCATCTTTATTGTGGGAATAATAATGCAAAATTTTATAATTTTCAGCACAGCTTATAGTTGAGTATCTATGCAAGTGCCGTTCGTACATCGTATCCACCAACCACAAAATATCTTTTAATGTCGTTTTCTATCAAGGAAAGTGAAAAGATTTTAATAAAAGCAAAATCATATTTCTGCTTTAGTAAGACAATATTTATATGAATTACATGTCAAGATAAAATTAAAAAATTTTCAAGTGTTTTCCATTGTACTTTATGCTTAAGTTTTGCAAATATGTTTTTATTACAATATTAAACAAAATCCTAATTATAATTACGATCTACCAGTATAAAAGTAAAAGTATTCCCTTCCGATTTTAATGTTGAATTTCAAAGGTTTAATCAAGTTCAATGAAATCTTCCAAGTAAAAATATCTTTGAAGTTGATTCCTTATCTCTAGAGTACAGAATTAAAGTGTTATTACACTTTTACACCATCAAATAATGACTTTTAGTAATAGACATCTGTAAATTAACACTACTCCTTGCTTAGTCGCGTAAACATATGCCAAGAGTATTAAGACTGCTAAATAATGTCTGCTATTGTGTTAAAGATAATAACCATACGTCTTTAAGTATAGTTCTTTAACGTGATTACATGCCGTTAAGGCTTAATACCACTGTCCTTTTTCACACACGTATCTGTATATTGCTCCCATAAATGCCTCCATTGGAATGCCAAGATATATCGCCGGTACCAATTGAATGTATACTATTGGATATAGTTTCTTCCTTGTGAGCGTACGAGCACTTCTGCTAATCTTTAGATCACCCAGTTGTAAAATACAACTCCGCATCGAATGGAAGTCATTCGACTCGCATAACTTTAGATTGTAACTACAGTCACCACGATACTTCCAATAATGAGGTCAACTTTTATTGGTCAGGACAGCCGAAGCTGTACGCTCTGAACCTCGTGATATTAGACTTAATATTTTAGTCGTTTGCGATTGGTTGTTTACAATGGTCTTATATATGAGACTGTTATTGAAAAAATAATTCTACTGAATTACTGAGTGCTTTTAAGAACAGAATAATTAATTAAATCACAAAATCCACTACATTGCTCAAATTTTCTTTACATATCATAAATGGAACTGACATAGTTGAATGTAATTGAAAAAAATGATTG